GAACCAGGTTTGGGGAGAAAGTGGAGCTGAGTGCTGTTAGAGAGAATGCACGGAACCAGGTTTGGGCTGCTTGACCATCCAGCTGAGGGAGGACTGGTCAGGATTATCTCACAGTAGGTAGCTGCCCAGATCACCTCATTGCTGGAAGCCAAGATTACTTTTGTTATTTTTTAAAGCATATACTTATTTTCCCCTCAGCAAGACATAATCTGCATTTCTAACTGCTGGCAATGTCATTTGAGTTTTTCCCTCCATTCCATTTAGGTCTCCTGGCAAATGGATTATTTGATCCAGGAAGTGGCAACACTTCTTGAGAGTTCTGTTGTCCACAGCGTAGAGCTCACCCAAAAGTAGTACATGGCCCTGCATTCTGCCTTGGTGACCTGTTACCCAGCTGGAAATCTTTCTCACAACTAAATCAATGATTGTTCTTTGCTACTTTATCTTGGAGAAACATCAAGGATATCGAACATTCACTGTAATTACTTTTCACTCGTTTCTCCATCTGTAAAGATGACCTGTGCATTTTAATACCAGTTTGGGTTTCTCTTTACTTTGTTAATCATGTGACCTTTTAAATTATTGGTCAGCCCTTTAAAAGGGTGATTAAGAAATACTTAATGCACGAAAGAATTAGAGCTATGCACAGCTCACGAAAACAGAAAGTGTGCTCTGACTTACAATTTTCATACAAAGTTTGTAGAGATTTTATGTGCCAGAATGAGTAACATGATCTGCTCTAGGAACTCCCTAGCTTTCTGGCTCTGCAAAAGTAATTTTTTTTTTTTTTTTTTTTTTTTGCCCTGATTCAAGTTTCTTAACCAGAAGAGTTACACCAAACTCCTCGGGATATGAATTAGCAGAGTTCATCCAAGCCGCATATTTCATTTGCACTGTCTAACGATGGCTTGAAATCACTGCCTACCTGTGCAGACGTAAGGCTCTTTGGTGCTCTCACGAGTCAGTGTGGCTGGAGAAAGGCTGCGTACCAACGGCTGAATCAGACAGCTTACGGTGTATGCTCGTGTGCGCGTGTGTTTGATCTTTCCCCTCCCTGCCATATTCCCTGGAGAGCTGCACAATTGCCATGTGCCTGGAAGCTCCTGAAGCACTGAAAGGCCATATGTGAGCGATAATGACACAGGCACGCCAAGCTGAGCATCAACATGAGAGGCGGCAGTGTGGGATGGGCGCCTCCTCCCACCCCAGCCCATCTCACTGGTTCTTCCCACGACCCACACCCAGGGCCCCTCATTGGGACAGTGAGAACATATGGGACCACTTCTGGATACCTGGTCCCCAGAGCATGAAATACACAAATGGATGACTGCTGTGTTTCTTTTTATTTGGCATGAAGTATACATTCATGTTGTTGGATGTGGGGATGCAAAGCAGCTTTGTTTCAACCTGCTCTGTTTAAGGAGAAACCAAGAACTTTTCTTTTCTTTTTCTTTTTTATTGTACTTTAGATGAAGGTTTACAGAACAAACAGTTTCTCATTAAACAGTCAATACACATATTGTTTTCTAAACCAAGATATATTCTTTTTTTTTTTTTAATTGTACTTTAGATGAAGGTTTACAGAACAGTTTCTCATTAAGCAGTCGGTACACAGATTGTTTTCTAAACCAAGATATTTTCTAATGGTTCTCTGAGATGGTATGTAAATGACTGTTAAATTTTCTTGATCTTCTTTAGCTCTCTAATCTCTATAATTAACTCTTGATTAAATATTTTAATTAGAGATTCAATGAAATTAAAGAATTTAATTAAGAAATATAGAGATTAAGTCTCTATAAAGCCAAGTTAAAAAATAAGTTAAAAACCATGGTCATGGTACAAACTCGGAATGGATAGAAAAGTGTAGAGAGAAAAAAAAAATGGACACATAATCTGATCACCTAAAAATAATCACTGGGAACAATTTGGCATATTTCCTTTCAATTTCTTTTCCTATAACAAAGTTGTTTATACGTATACATGTGATGTATTTTCAAAGAAGCCTCTTCTCAGATGGATTTGCAGGACATAGCTTTTTGTTCACTTTGCCCTTCCTGTATGCTTCCTGTCCATTGCCTCCCCAGTCCCCACCCACTGCCAACCAAAGGGAGTGAAGGAGGAGGTGTAGGGGTTGGAGAATGAGGAGCTTCTGCTGGGTTGTCTGAGATATCACACTGAAAACCACCAGCTGCTTTTCCTGCTAAATGATGTACTTTCTTGTTGCAGCTATCAGAAGGGCTGAATAAAGGGAGACTGCAGCTCTGCAGCAATATTCGGATAATCTATTGCAGTGCGGTTCCCATCACTGTCCACCACCACCTGGAACAGCTCATCAGAACCGAAGAGGAGTATTCACTTGCATTATGGAGTGCGAGTCTGTTCTACTTGATACTTCTTTCATCATCTCTTGTCATTTCTCATGGATTCGGATATGTTGGGAAGGAGGAATGCAGGGGAAGAGAAAAAATGGCAGGTCCTTCATTTCCTTGGGATGTAGGCGTTGAAAACATGATCATCTCTTCTGAACGTCATTATCTGATAACATTTTATTTTTGGTACTTAGATATCGTTGGATAAATTTGAATTCTATGGAATTTTAACTGTGGATTTAGCTTCTGTTGGACAACTAGCTTCATCTCCAGTTATCCTGCTGGTTCAGTCGAAGTGGTCATTCCTAATGCATTAGATTATCAAAAAGTAGAGACTTTCTGTGAGTGAGTACTGTTGGCGGTGTTTGTATACCAAGATGTGTGGAGTGGTTGACAAAGAAACCAAAACACCAAAAATTGCTAGCCTCTACCCTCCTCTGTTTCTTTAATCTGCTGTTTGAGGAACCACATTTTGATGGTGTAACCAGTAGTTACCTCTGGGCCAGGTTGGAAATGAATCAATTTTTTAAACCACTAATACTTGCCAAGAAATCGCCTTATGAGAACATGGTGTGTGTCTCTGACAATGCATGGCACATCTAAATTGGTCATTCATAATTTTATCTAGCCTGTCCATGTACTGAAAGAGTGGCAAAAGCCTGAGGCACCTCCGTCTCTCTGCTCCCTGTGTTCCGTGCACCCCATGGCTGGGACGTGGCCAAGCCTCAGACTCTTCCCATTCCCGTACGTGCAGGTCTCCATGAAGAAGCTGGGACTCGTTCACATTTCAAGATCCAAATGCTGTGCAAACAGTGTAAGCGTAGATCTTTCTGTAAATGAAGGGTCATTTCTCTCTCTCTCTCTTTTTTAAATTTGTCTCCAACGTGGATTCCAAAGCATTTTCAGCATCAAACATGAAAACATTGATGAATGAGGAGTAATCATAAAAGCTGTGTATCTGTATATAACTCTGCACAACGTGTATGCAGGTGCAGAGTCATTTAAAGCACATGCCAGGAAAGAGACCAACTTGTAAGGTCTTTTACATTCGGTGACTTGGTACTAAGGAGAATTCAACTCCTACTGCTTCCTCTGAAGATTAAAAAAAAAAAAAAAAAGAAGTTGTCGTAACTTCATAAAACTCATGAGTAAGTCTGAAAGTCTGGCAGATGTGCAACTCTTATATTGATCCATTTTCTTGTCAGTGGAAGAAACCCTTCCATGTGTATGCAAGTGGGAGATGAAAATCTGCATTTGTAAAGGACAAACAATGAATTTAAGCATGAGTGGCCTTAATAAATATAGTTGTCTGTCTTTGCTGCTGTGGAAAGGATTCTAAACAGATATCCCTGAAGTCTTGCATTGAATTTAGTCGTTATTATTACTTTTTAAAAAAAAAAAAACGTTGGTGCAATTAACTCTGGACCTCTCTCATGAGCCATAGAGATGTTTATAAGACAGAGACCTTATTTATGGAGGAAGATGAAACCGTGTCTGAGTTGCACTGTTCATTCTTGGTGGTTAATATATTCAAGCAGGTTTCTTGCTTCTGGCTTTGTCCTTGTCGTCAGTAAGTATAGCAAACTACGTAAAGCTTATGTGTCGCATAAACAATCCAAATACATTCATGTTTAAAAAAGTTTGTCCTTTAACTATCAAAGGGATTTAGGCTTTGGTTGGAGAAGCGAGCAGAGTTCTTTGCAAGTGTATCTAGCACATTTCGACACAATATTGCACAGAAAACCCAGGCCACGAAGGTGGCCCCCTGAAGAATTAGGGTGTCCTTAGAGAGGCGGTCCTCATTGCCTCCTAAAGCTAGGGCTTGACCTGAACTCGGCAACTGAATACTTGAAGTAGGAAATCCACGAGGGAACATAGGGCCCTCGGAATGGAAAAAACAACCACCACCATGTATAGTTAGCTATTTCTACATACGTGCCAATTTTGTCACAGGTATTGTTTTGGGGATCATTTTTTGCCCCACTTATGTTGCTTAGAAGTATTATCAATCTGACCTTTATCGAAGGCATATCAGTTAGTCCCTTATAAAAGTAAAATTCTGTATAACATAGCATCGTTTCCCATTTCATGTAGTATTCTCTGATGTTTGGGGGTTACCAAAAAAAAAAAAAAACACTCCTTTTCATGTATTAAGAATCATCTCTGGGTTTACAACAGACACTGTGATGTTGGGAAGATATTCCCTTTGCGCAAACTCTAGCAGGTTCCCCTTTAATGATGATAAAGTTGGAAAAAAATGAAAACAGTTTGGGCTAACCTGTAGGAGAAGTTGATCTTCTTTCTTTGTGCAGAAGCAGGCTTGTACTTTATACCCCTTTTGATTTGAGTGTACAGTCTCGATTTTGTATTTAATGATTTTTGTGTATCCAGTATGCACGTTAACAGCGTGTCAACTTTCATCTGAAAGCGGGTTTCAATTTACTTTTTAACAGTGTTTATGACGAGACCTCTGATGTGTTGACATAAGCTCTATCTGCAATGTTTTTGTGTAGAGTGGCGTTTGGATGCTGCCCAGGGGTCAGTGTATCTCATTCCTCAGAGCCTCGTTTGGTAGTGCTTCTTGTAATATTTCTTCATGTGAGTGGCATGTGGGTTGTGATATTGATCATGTGATTATGGACATTGATATGAAAAAAAAATAATAATAACAAAACTAAGGAACCCTCAGAAACTACCAGTGGGCATGTATTAGCCAGTCATTGTAACCTCGTGTCTAGCAGAAGTACAACGTACAAGATGTGGACAGTTCATCAATTTGTTATCATGTGTATGAGAAGTACTTTGTGCTGACCGCCTTATTTATATTCATCAAATAAACTTTGTTTCTTTCTGAAGAGAGTTCATTCCATATTTAATAAATGCGTCAATTGTGATTTCTAATCTCTTTCGGACTCATGGATCCCTATCTGAAAATCTACTCAAAACACTCTTGACTTGAAGAAAAAAGGGAATTTATTGGCTCACTTAACTGGAAAAGCCAAGGCATAAATCTTCCTTTAGGCAGGACTGGATCTAGAGGTTCAAATTAAGAAGTTAAGTCACGGAAGGCATCTTTCTCCTTTCTTCCCTCCTTCTTTCTCTTCCCTTTTTGCCCTTCTCTTGCCCTCAATTCCTCCCTCTTTTCTCCATCTCTCTTTCTCCTCCCCTCTCTTCCTCCTTCCCACTTTTCCTCTATTTTCTTTTTTCCCTCTTCCCATCCCTCCATCCCTCCCTCTTTTCTTATCTCCCTGTTTCCTCTACATTTCCATTGGATCGGCTTTAGTTTCTGCTAGACTGTCTCCACTAGGTAGCAAAGATGGCTCCTAATAGCTCTGAGCACTCCTGGTTTTTAGAGGAGAAACTCTCCCAGCATTTGTATTCATCCACTAAAAGAACTCTTACTGGTCCTTTTGGATCATGTGTCCATCACCTTTTTCAAGGGTGTTGGGAAGGTGAGGCCATGTGATTGACAGCTTCACTGGATGTTGGAGGGGTAGTTTCCAAAGGGGGAGGGGGGATTGGATGAGTTTTATTGTAGAAGAATAGAATAAATCAGTCCTGAAGGAAGTGTATCCAGAATGCTCCTTAGAAGTGAGGATTACTTTGGACAAATCATCAGGAGGGACCAATCACCAGAGGAAAGCATCATGCTTGGTAGAGGGTCAGCTAGAAAGGAGATCCTTAATGAGATGAATTGACACGGTAGCTGCAACCGGAGACCGATTGCCCAATAAGCAAGGTATGCATGGGCTTACTTGTGCTTACTTACTGGTTTGTAGTGTACAGTTTCACCCGGTCTTCAGCACGTCACAGATGAGGTGAACCCCATGTGAAATTGTGCAGTACAGGTTAGTAAGTAAACACAATTAAGCCCATGTGTACTTTGCTCACTATAAACCGGTGTGTTCCTTGCTTACTGGTTAATCTGCCCCGGCTGCAACAATGGGCTCAAATGTAGCAACAATTTTGAGGATGCCATAGGGCTGGGCAATGTTTTGTTCTGTGATATACAAGGTCACTATGAATCAGAGCTGACTTGATGGCACCTAATAACAACAACAATTCTGGAAGAGGAGTCCCTGGGTTGTTCAAACAGCTGACACACTTGGCAACTAACTGAAAGACTTGTGGTTCAAATCTACCCAAAGCACCATGGAAGAAAGTCCTGACGATCTACTTTTGAAAGAGCACAGCCGTTGAAACCCCTATGGAGCATTATTCAACTCTGAAGCACAAGGGAGCACTATGAGTTGAAATAGACTGATGGCATCTGGTTTGGTTTTTGGTTTTATTCCATATGAAAGGGACCAGAAAACTGGGCAGGCAAAAATAATAGATAGCCCTGCCACTACTCTTCCTCTGAAAAATATATACCAAATCGACCCTGTAAGGGCTTACCAGCCATCACCGCTCACCTGTGGATCATAGTTGAGAACCTGATTGCCACATGTTCTTTTCAAACCTACAGAACTACTCCTGGAATTCTCTGTATTCCAGGGAATGAATTACCAGTTCTTACCATTATTGAAATCAAAGAGTCATTGATTGTCAGAGCTCGAGATGTTAGATGTCATATAATCACTTTATCCTCATTTTACCAGATGGAGAAACTGAGGCCTAGTCAGAGGTGACTGATCCAAGCATACAGGGTAACTCTGTGGAAGAACCAAGACCATGCCCCGAGCCCCTGAAGCAGGAAGTCCCTGAAGACTCTGGGGAGGAGAGGATGGGACAAAACTTCCGCCAGTTGGCCTTGATGACATAAGGGAAATATCACTGGTTTCTGTACTTTATGGACTCAAAGCCACCAGGTGTGAAATTCTCTCACAGTCGGCCACTTCTTTGTGGGCCTGCAAAGTCATCTGCCCTCTTCATTATGTTCCCTCTTTCTAGAAAGAGAACGTTTGTTGGGCGGGAATTTCTTACCTCATAGGACTTCCTGATGCAGCTGGGCTGGCATGCAGACCTGGTTATGTAAACCCAGCCAGGCAGATGGAGCCTCTGTTACTTCACCCACAGACTAGGCCTTTTGGTAAGGAAGGTACCTGCCCACACACTGCTGGGCGCAAGCAGGAAGTCAATTGGTACCCTTAGCTTCTTTGAAGCACATAGACTTAATTTTGGTACACCCTCAGTTTTAGTCTTAAAAGTCTACCTTGGCTGCTTCAAGTATCTATGAACTGCCATTACAAAGGATAGGATGACCATTCTGATTCTTGGAATGGCTGACCCAAAAGTAATGTTGCTTTCATTGGGTGCCATTGAGCCAATTTTGAACTCATAGTGACCCCATGTGACAGAGTAATAACTGCCCCATTGGATTTTCTAGGATGTAATCTTGACGGGAGCAGATCACCAGGTCTTTCTCCTGTGGAGCCACTGGGTGGGTTTGAACCGCCAACCTTTCAGTTAGCAGCTGAGTGCTTAACCATTGTACTACCAGGGCTCCTTCCAAAAATAATAGCCATACTAATAATAAGTAAACACGGATAATAAATAATTGAACGTTATTGAGTTTTCCAGGAGCTGGACCCTGCTGCTAAGGACTTGGCATGCATCAACTCGTTTATTTCTGACAACAGTCCCATAAGGTAGGTACTGTCGCGATCTGCATTTTATAGCAAGGGAAGCAGAGGCTCACAGAGATGAGCAGAAACAGTGTGCATTTATCGAGCGCTTCTCTGGTGCCAGGTGTTGTGCTAAATGCCATGCTCACATAGTAATCTCTAATTCCATAAGACAGGCACTATTATTATCCTCACTTTACAGACAGGGACAAGGAGGCCCAGGGAGCTTACATGCCTTGCCCAGGGTCTCCCAGATAGTACATGGTGGAACCAGGCTTTGAATCCAGAGTTTAGAAACCCCTTCTGCTTAGGGGATGCACCAGGCCCGAGGTCAAGTGAGCAGGTCATGTGGGGCTGGGATTCAGATCTCACACTTTGCCATCCAGTAGAGTTTCCATGTTGCAAGTTTGCTCTCCAGCATGGCCTCATGGCTCACGGGTCCCTAAAGAATTGCTTGCTTCATCAGAGCCACCAGTTGCCATCAAATCAACTCCAGCTCCAACTCATGGTGACCCCATGTGTGTCGGAGTAGAACTGTGCTCCATAGGGTTTTCTGGATGATTTTTCATAAGTAGATCTCCAGGCCTCACTTCTAAGGCACCTCTGGGTGGATTTGATCCTCCAACCTGTTGTTTAGTAGTCGAGCATGTTAACCATTTGTACCACCCAGGGACTCCAGTTAGCTAGTATTATCAGAAAATGGGCTACCACACGGTCAAACAGTGGATTCTAGTGGAACTCAAACCTTGTGTGAAAAGGAAGCCTAAGCAAAACTTGGTACACTGATTCAACCTGTTATCCATGGACCTCTCTTATTGCTTTTAAGCCTTCAGTATTCACCTGTGATGACCTTTCAGTCATTCTGTGGAGTTGTAGGGTAGAACATCCAGTGAGAGGGGACTGCACAGGTATCCCCAGGCTGGAAAGGGCCTTCAGTGCCATACTAAGGGAGTGGACATAATGATCTTGGCTGTTGGCTCCCAACTTGAATCATTTGAATACTACTTTTCTGATGTGAGCCAGTAGGGCTTCTGTAAGATAATACGTAGTCTTAGTCAAATAATCGTTTTCATTAAATGGGCTCATGTTTTTACTTAAATAATTTTAAAGTAAAATGCCACTGCCATAAATGAGCAAGTAGGATCATTTACCATGCGTAAGTATATGGCACCAAAAATAAGAACAATAAAAGTAATTAAAAATAATGAAAGCAAAGCTCTGAGCCTGAGGTCCTTTTCTTTGTTAAAAAGGGACATTGGAAAAGGTTAGAGCCGTGTTCCTAGAGGTAAACAGGACTTGCTCTTTGTTACTGAATCAGAAAG